ATGGCCAATAAATGTAGATACGATATATGGATAAAAGTATTGGGACACATCTCCTAATTAGTGAGTTCAGGTGTTTCAGCCACACCATTACTAACAGGTGGATCAAATCAAGCACACAGCCTTGCAGTCTCCACAGACAAACACTGGCAGTAGAGAGTCGTACTGAAGAGCTCAGTGACTTTCAACATGGCTCTGTCATAGGATGCCACCTTTCCCACAAGTCAGGCTGTGAAATTTAGGTCCTGCTAGATCTGCCCCAGACAACTGTAAGTGCTATTACTGTGAAATGGAAGCGTCTGAGAGCAACAACAGCTCAGCCACGAAGCGGAAGACCACCAAACTCACAGAGTGGGAGCCACAGAGTGCTGAAGACGCACAGTGTCTATCCTCTGTTGAATCACTACAGAGCTCCAAACTGCCTCTGGAAGCAACACCAGCAAAAGAACTGCACATTAGGAGCTTCACGAAATGGGTTCCCACGGCTGAGCAGCTTCACACAAGCCTAAGATCAAAACGCACAAAGCCAAGCGTCGGATGGAGTGGAGTAAAGCGCCGCCTCTGGACTCTGGGTTTGATGAAGAACGTTACCTGCCTGACTGCACTGTGCCAGCTGTAGAGTTTGGTGGAGGAGGGATGATGATATGGGGCTGTTTTTCAGGGGTTGGTCTAGAACCCTTAGTTCCAGTGAAGGGGAATCTTAATGACTCAGCACCAAGACATTCTGGACAGCTGTACACTTCCAACTTTGTGGAACAGTTTGGGGAAGAACCTTTCCTGTTCCAGCATGACTGAGCCCCAGTGCACAAAGCAGCTCCATAAAGGCCTGACTGGGTGAGTTTGGTGTGGAAGAACTTGACTGGCCCTCACAGAGCCCTGACCTCAACCCCATCGAACACCTTTGGGATGAACTAGAACGGAGATTGTGAGCCAGACCCTCTCGTCCAACATCAGTGTCTGACCTCACAAATGCTCCTCTGGATGACACAAAAATTCCCACAGACTCTCCAACATCCTGTAGAAGCTTCCCAGAAGAGTGGAAGCTGTTAGAGCTGTAAAGGGGGACCAACTCCATATTAATGCCTCTGGATTTAGAATGGGAGTCATAAAGGCTTGAGTGGGTGAAATGTGTAGGTGTGCACATTTGTCCGTATAGTGCACAAGGTGCGTGTGCCTAATAAACTGATGACTCATCACCACCATCACCAACATCATCATTAATAAGAACAAAAGTAAATATTCTACCTATGATGTGAGGAAAAATAGCTATGCCAATGTTTTAATGAAGCAGAAAGCTTATTCAGAATAAAGGACCCCTAAAATAGATCTGTTTACATTCTCTCTTTAGAGAAGGGTGTTACTGTACTGGAACTGGGAGGCCAACTGAGGTCTTGGGAGTGAGGTACACTGCACACACAGCCAAAGCCTACAAGTGGAGAGAGTGTGTGGGTGTAAATGGGTGGCAGTGCTCAGAGATCTTGGCTATAGCTCAAGAGGTCAAGAGCTTGACCCCAACTGCTGTCGTTGGCTGATGCTGTTGCTGTATTTGGCTAATGCAAGTGGTATTTTTGTCCTTTCAGCTGAACGACCAAATGCATTATCGTTGTGCATGAGAGGTGTTTTATTTCAGGTAGAAAGAAATTCGAGTAGGTCGCTCTGGACATCAGCATATGCTAAACGATGGAATGCACTGCAGGTGTGACTGTTATTTATGTAAGATTATACAACAGTTAGTTCTGACCATCCATTCTGACTGATTTAAAAGCATTCTACCTATGTTTTTACTTTAATAGCACTTTTTCTGCTGACCACGGGTCGTTAATCAAACACAACTTTATTCTAAGTCTGTGGCAGAACTACTTTTCAGATTTGAAAACATTGAAAACTAGAATTGCGAGTGATAGAGTGATTGCGAAGCTGAAGCTTGTTGCTAGACGTTTGCTAAGGTGTTCCTAGGCAGTTGCTATGACACGAAGGGTGTGTACTGATGGGTTGTTATGGGGTTGCCAAGTGGTCGCTAGTTGTTGTTAAAAATAAATGGGACTCCATGGGAGTAACGAGGGATGAACAAACGACACATGCATGAGTGCAGATCAGTATGACTGCAGAGCTTGGGGACCTGCCCTGAGCGAGTTCACGCAGTTCGGTGGCTGTTGGGCAAACCAAAAGATAAACTTGTGTGCGTCAAAAAATGAATGGGAGTCTATGGGAGGAACAGGGGATGAAAAAACAACACAGAGAGGAGTGCGGGTCAGTATGGCTGTGGATTAGAGCTTGGGGACCAGACCTGAGTGAGAACATTCAGTTTGTTAGGGTTAGGATTAGTTTGGACTTGTATGGGGGCAAAAATGAATGGGAGTCTATGGGAGAAATGAGGGATGAGAAAAAATGACAAACAGATGAATACAGTCAGAACAACATTAGGTTCGTCCCTGGGGGCCTGTCCTGAGACAGTATATGCGAAAATGGTGTCTTGTGGTTGAGCAGAAGTGCAGAAGATGGACGTACAGTTTTTCACTTCATTCATGAATCAAATCATGAATGAAGTAATTTAAAAATTAGAAATTTGTAATTTAACGAAGATTGATCAAAAAGCTGCATAGAAGCCCACCATTTCTGATCAGACTGAACATTCTTGATTTGGAATGGTGTTGGTATCTCGAAAACTGCTGGGGGATTAGCAAACAAAAATCTGGCAGAAAAATAATAATATTAATAACAATGATAATAATAATAATAATAAGAAGAAGATAAAGAAGAATATAAACCGGATAACAACAGTGTTTTGCAATGCGCAATCACTAGCAAATCCAGATTTACATTACAGAAGTAGTCTGATCTCAGGCACAAGCTGAAGGCATAAAGAAGGTTTTTACCAATAACACTATTCTCTCATATTCTACTGCTTAAAGGACACACAGTGTCACTGATGTGAAGCACCACTCTTCCATAGCAGCTTTGGCGGTTTTTTCATTTGTGGTCATTTCCACTGCATAGATAAATTATTGTTATTCTGGTCAAATAAACGTATGCACTGCCATACTGCTGTAATGGCAGCAGCGCTGAATGTACCATAGGCTATGTTTAATATGGTTTTGGGCCTTTTATTACATAAATATGATATACGGCTGCAACCATGCATTCATGAGCTCCTGCTGGTGTGGGTTCAGTTTTTTCCATTTGAACAGCCAGGTTTCTATCTGTCAAATGACATTAACTGAACAACAGAAACATCACAAAAATGATACAAATTTATCTATTTCTATCTCCCAATGTAACGTCTTTGGTCTCACTTTATTTGGACAGTCCACTATAGATTATGTACAGATGCTCAAATTGTTAAACTATCTGTTGAAAGTCAGTTGATTCTAAACAGTGGTGGGGTTAGGGTTAGGACTTGGACCAGGGTTAGGGATAGGACCAGGGTGAGGGTTGGGTTTAGGTTTTGGGTTGAGGTTAGGGTTAGGATTAGAGCAGGTTTAGGGTTAAAGAAAATTATGGTCAATTTAATATTTAATTGAATGTAACTTGAAAGTAAATAAAGTACCTACAAACATCTGTACTGTATAGAGAAATTCTTGTTGCTTGTTTTGTTTACAGAAGCAATAAGCAATGTTTACAAACACACAAAAAACTAAACACTGTGTATAAAAGTGGTATATCTTTATTTATCTTTCATAACATGAACTCACTCAAGACTCAAATTACTTTACAGGCCTGTATGAATTATTCTGTAATAATAGGCTGCAGGTCCACATGGGGGCGATGCCATGTTGTGACCATGTGACAACAGCCAGGCAAACTTGCAGAAAAGAAAAAGATCTACATGCTAATTGGTTAAAGCTGCTAAGGCTACGCTATTCACTTTCCCACAGGTTAGTAAACACAGCTTCCAACAGGTGAGCTGTGTGTTGTGGCACATGGAATAGAAAAAGTAATCTTGGAGTCAGCAGCAAGTGACGTAAGCACTAAGAGCATTCCTGCTACATACCAAGTAAAAGCTTTGATCAGATTATAAACACAACTCGTCCAAATGACTCCAGTTTCCATTCCACAGCTCTCAGTACTGATGTAATAGCGCTCGGTCCTCATCAGCAGGAGTGAATAACTGGCCGAGCTGTGTTCCTGTCAGTCTGACAGTTTCTCAGTAACGTCGGCTTCAGTGCGTTTGGTAGCTGTCGTGTGTTACTTAGACTGATAACTGGTGTTACTTGGACTGTCTAAACTGGTTATGATAACAGCCGGGTCAGTTATTAACTACACAGAACCCAAAAACAAGCATTTATTACAGTGACCAGTCACTGAACTCTGACTCCCACATCTGTCTTTTGATAGCACAGCTGTGGACCATCATTCCACTATCAAATAAGAACAGGGTGATCGCCTCTCCACACCACCAGGGGGCAGTATAGACACTCCGTATCACCCACACTGATAGATGTCAGTATAAGGTTCTAAGAATATCGCCATGCTGGTTGCTTCATAAGGCAAAATGCTCAGGAAATGTCCACTTATCGGTGGCAGGCACGTTATGTTTTATTAGCCAATGCTGTTGTTTACCATCTAATATCAGCTTTTCGTTTTATTCTCGGAGAAGATAAAGGCAGGTTTTCATTTCTTTGTCATTCCACTGGTACCTGCAGCTTTCTGCCAAATTTTGTAGCTACTGCCGTACAAATCCAAGAACACCCGATGGGTCATATTACTTTACACTATTGTATTTACATTGTTTATTCGTCAAATGTGTTTCCATCGTAATTAGCTGCATCTCAATTTTCAAGAATTTTATTTGATGCTTGTCATTTTCTCAACACTTTTTTATTTCATATGGCAAAATTTGCATAAAATATGTACGTAGCTAATGATGCATATAAAAGCTACTTGAGTGCTGATAGCTCCCCCTTGTGGAGAATCTTCAGCCTGCTAAATGTGAGTGAGTGAAACAAAAAAAAAAGGCCAGGTGCTGACAGGCACTGCCGTCCTGCAGACTGATAATCACTTACATGGTGGTAGAGTTTCTTCCCGAAGGTCTGTCTGCTGGCTGATCTTTGGCACAGAAGCTCCAGAGCATGTTCAGCCAGTCCTATAGCTCTCATGCAGTGGTGCAGTCTGCCTGGACCCAGCCGACCCTGAGCGATCTCAAACCCTCGACCCTCACCTGCAAACAGCCCGGCTCAGGATTAGAAACCAACAGTAATGTGCATCACAATGCATATACGTCACTGCTTAAACGTTTAGAAACAATGTTTTCAATAATATACAATTTGGCTGCAGATGCGTATAAAATAACTACGTATGAGGCTCGTACACCACAGCGTCAGGTTTCAAATTCAGAGAAAACTGTAAAAATTAATTCATAAGATATTCTGAATGTGTACAGAATGATGAGCGTGGCTGTAGATGATTCCATACCAGCTGAGAAAGGAACACTGAGAATGAAGCTATAATAAAATACATATCCAGAATGCCTCAAATTAAAAAAAGGAAAATCAAATCTCAAGCCAGGGAACTTCACCAAAATATTATAATTCTAGTACGTTAATCATTTAAAAACTTCTAGTCTCCCCAATTTATTTCTATACTGTATGAATTATTACTTACTTTTTTCTTTCCATTTTATACGGAGACCATTTTATATGCAAAAGGTCAAATTACATGTTCTATTGATTTTCTAAAAACACATCTTTTATGGAGAACAAATACATGACATAATGACATTTTCTGTGCATTTCAGTGCATAATTTATATTTACTTAATGAGCTTAACATTTTGGAAAAATATAATATAAAATGTTTTGTATAAAATGCACATTTTATGTTTTATTTTTCACCCCAAAATTCTCCCCAGCTCTATATAAACACACTTGAATTCAGAGTGAGTGCCAGATGCTCAGTAAGTGCTGCTTTGATGCAATTTCAGTGTAATTCCTGTGACAACATGTAACAGTCGATGAGTAAAGCCAAATGAATTCCGGTTTATTCCACGTCATTTCATCATCATTAGACCTTACACAAGTCAGAAACACCACAAATGTGCACACAGGCTGTGTGTGTGTGTGTGTGTGTGTGTGTGTGTGTGTGTGTGTGTGTGTGTGCGCACATCTTGCTGGACTACATATACGACATTTTGCTGGTCCTCACTTGAGCACACGTTGTTGTGGAAAAAATAAAAGAGCAGAAAAATTGTCTTTTGGATACTGAGGTTGAGGTCAGGTGTAGACGTAGGTGTAGGTGTATCACTTGGCAACAGTAATACGAAAATCAATCAATCAGCATTCTATGGAAGACACAAGGAATGTAAGACAAACCTGCGTGTATGTATGTGTGTGTGTGTATATGTATATATAAATCTGTGTGTGTGTGTGTGTGTGTGTGTATATATGTATATATATCTGGGTGTGTGTGTGTGTGTGTGTGTGTGTGTGTGTGTGTGTGTATGTATATATATCTGTGTATATGTGTGTGTGTGTGTGTGTGTGTATATATATGTATATATATATATCTGTGTGTGTGTGTGTGTGTGTGTGTGTGTGTGTGTGTATGTATGTGTATGTGTGTGGTATCTTACCTAGAAGAATGTTGGAGGCAGGAACGCGCACGTTGTCAAAGTGAACCTCAAGATGACCACCATGGTTAGCATCTGTGGAGATGAAAAAAGAGGAAGATAAACATCTCACACTCAGCTGGGTTCCAGAGAACCTACAGCGCGCACGCACACACACACACACGCACACACATGCACACACACTCACACACACACTAGTCTTTGTCTCAACAAATACACATATCGAGGAGATTCATGCACAGAGACAAGAAAACAGCCAGGGAGTTCCTGCCAATCTCACTGATTTCATCTGTAATGGCAGACAGAAGCAGCATTCAGCATTAAAATGGATAAATATCCTGTTTGAGAGACACTACAGCCCAAAATAGTACGGAAGCAAAACACTGGTGTTTTGTTCCCAAAAACAGTTTGCCAATTCTGCAAAACACGACTACCAAAACACGGCAACTTGTTTACTGAAGTCTGGCTGAACCAAAAAACTCCACTGCAGTGATGAACTCAGTGCTGTATTAAATGGAAAAAGCCTTTATGGTATTTCTCGATAACAGTTTTTTAATTTATTAAAGGGAATTCAAGCAGTTTATTCTAAATTTCTGCATAACTCAATCGCTGAGATGTAAACAAAGTCAACCAGTGTCTTTTTATGTAACACGATTCACTGTAGAGAAGTTTACCAACCAGGAGTAACAACTAGGGACTGAGATATCGACAAATATCCCAAATCACAAATACAGCTTTTTCTTAATTTGCTATGCAAAATGGTCGGTGAACCCAGACCTACACGTTTTAAATGTGTTCTAACATCCAAAAATAACTTTGGTAAATCCAAATACTTTCCTGTGTACTATTTTGCCGTAAAACGCCCTGCCCTGTCAGGCAGAGTATCTGTGACCATTTCATGTCATAATCTTCAGTGAGGGAGCTTTTGCAGGCATAAAACACTGTGGGTGTCTGGTTCCAGAATGAGTGAGTTTCACTAGAATGGAGTTTTTCACATCAAACTACTCTGAATCACTTTACATTTCTATGGTTAAATTACAGGCCTTTTGAAAAACTGGTGGAGAAACTTGTGGAATTGTTTACAGTGGTGTTGATTGAAACCAGACATCCAAAGCCTCTTTAATTTAATGCCTAAAAGCTACTTCTCAATTATTACACACAACAGCAGAGCCACCAGAACCACAGGGGCGAGTGGGCATTTGACCCACCACTACACTGCTTACAGAAACTAATGAGCAGAACTAATTAAACCTTCCATTTCAGTGTTGGAAGTGTTTTTAGAACCAGAGTCAGAATCACTTTATTTCACCAAATATGTTACACATACAAGGAATCATCAGCAGACTGTGAGTTCGATCCCTGGTAATGCTACAGCCGACCATGGCCGGGAGTCCAAGGCCCAGTCCCGTTTCTCCTCAAATAAAAAGAGCATCACTTCATTAACAGCTACCAGCGCTGCTCTGTAGGCGACCCTGCCCGTCTGCAGTGACAGCAGAGGAGGGTAAAGTTCAGCTCCTCACTGCTGGGCTTTAGTTACATTTAGGGCATCATATGACTTCAAAGAGGGGGGCAATTATTTATTATCACCACCCCTAATTCTTCAGTGATATGAAGCTGAAGTCAGATATTCACCAGCTTCTCGTTCTGATTCTCCCGTTCCACCTTAAATGACACAGCAGTTACATTCTGGCGCTTCAGGCATCAGAACTGCTGGACTATTTAAGCTGGAACGGGAAAATTAGCTAGCTAGCTACCGAGTCATTAGCATGCTATTAGCGATTTTTTATGCTTGTTGTGAAGAAAACAAGCATAATACACTGAAACAACATTAAACTAAGATACATTAACTAACTAATTCTCACATTTGTGGGTTTCTTTGGTTTCTTGTTCTCCGTCTCACCAGTTTTTCTTTTTTCCTCATAACTCTCTGTTTGGAGTCTCTGAAAAACCTCCGTTTGGAGGGTCATGTAGCCCCAACACTTCACCCTCCCCCTCTATCTCAATAACAATCAGGACCCCCTACCCCTAGACGGGAACACTCCAAACAGAGGGCTAAGGGCTCAGTGGTGGGGGCGAGGGGTGAAATGGGACTGGGCCCAAGAAAGCACAATTGTCCTCACTCTCCCTGGGTGGGCAGGACGGCCCCTCTCCTTCTCCCCCATCACTCAGCTCGATGTTAGCCAGCGCAGGCGTCTGTTAGCTGACGTAACAGAACTGACAGTTAGCGCTCTCCGCCGAGCGCATTCAGCTGTCCAGTGATGTTGCGCTAGCAGCTTCACAAGTCTCAGAGGAAGCCTTTGCTAGCCTTCACCTTCCTAGCGTGTGACTGGGGGAGACCTAACTAGTGGGTGGAACTGGATGGAGATTGATGGAGATTTTGAATAAATATTCCCTTAATCAGTAATCAAACAGATTAGATATAGTAATCAATAACCAAATAGGCAGTAGTGGCTAACAGAGAATATTAATTCTCTCACAAAGGGAGGCCTTAGTCTGTCTGCATAGGAGAGTCTAGACACTGGAAAGGCCCTGGGTTCACAGAGAGGCCTGTGTGTACCTACTGACCCAGTGAAGAGAGGGGCAAGTTGACCTTGAAAGATAGAGCAGGCTGGTAAAAACCGGTTGAAACCAGTTTTGAGGAGTGAGCTCATCATGCGAAGGCCAAACTGATGGACGAAGAGATGCATCTATTAGAGAATGAGCTAATATACAAATTAGAGAAGTAAGGTGGGCGGATATCAAACTACCCCAGATTAATGGTACCTAAACTGTTGTTTGGAACACTGTATTTGCGCAGTTGTTCCACCTGATGCTGAAATAAAGAAGAAGCATTTTTCCCTCTTTCCACAAACTCAGCGTCTGAAGACTCTTTCCTTTTCAACATCTTTTGAGAACTTAGACTTAAAACAGTTATTATTGTTTAGCCAGTATTAAAGATTTCTTTTTTTATTCATAATATTATGCTGGAGGCCTGGGGTTGAAGGGGACAGCCCTTGGTCCCGACATGGCTAAACTGGGGAAAAAATCCCCCCAAAAAAGTGTAAAAAGATAAATAAATAAATGAGATCTCCATTTCAGCTGGAGATAAAGTAAAGTACAGCCATCGAGAGTTTGTGTTCAGTGCGAGGAGCTGCAGTTAACTAATCCGAATAAATGAATTAATGCATTGGACCACAGTTTGTTACCACACTGTGACTTTACTGTGAAGTCGGTCTGCATATTTCTTAACTGAGGGCGCTTTCACGTCTACATTTTGTTGCAGGCTGGGGTACCTTTTTCTTTAGTTCGGTCTGTTTTAGTGTGAACTCCAGTCATGTTCAGGTCTGCACCAAACAACCGAACTGTTCTGGAAAAAATCGCAGGTCTCAGTTCATTTCTAGTGAACCTACTTCAGTTAGCTGGTGGGAACACTTTTTTACGGTGGTCTGAATCAACTGAGAGAATTTAACACCAGAGCAGGTTTTCCTCAGTGCACATCACCTCTGTACTGTCGGCATAAACTGCCTATTTAATATTTTACTTCACACAGAGCTGCTGTTCGTCCTGCAGCACGAGCTGCTGTTAATAACGGCAGAGCAATGAAAAATAACCAAAAATGTCTCTGATTTCTCCATATGGAGTGTATTTTTTGGCCAAGTATCAGTGACCTGCTGCAATATCTACATACTGATATTGACTACATTGAATCTGTATTACATATTGATAAAATTAGACGTTAACCCTTAGGACCTGTACCCTGCAACACGCGTAGTAGACTCACTGTTCAAAGCCACTTACACTGAGTGGACTTTCCCTCAAAAGCACACAAACAGGCCCTAAAAAACATATTATAACAGATAAATAACAATAATTATGACAAATATTATCATAAAATCAAGAAGATTTAGCTCTGTCTTTCAGTTAACATTGATTTTGAGTATTAAAAATATAAGATATTAAATATGCAACTCAATTTGTAATTAAAAATAAAGCCAGTCTTGCTGTGTATCAGAGTTTTAGCACTCAGCCTGAATCCAAGAGGACAGAAAATCAATAAAAACATGCCCACTTTATGCTCATTGTTTAATTTTATCTAATAATAACCAATAGAATGAATCACCATCTAAAGTATTGCACTTTCAGCTCACAGACACTCCAGACTAACAATTTCTGAAACGGTATCACGTGTTAAAGATCTGTACAAGCAAAAATTAGCAAAATTTTGAAGGCGCTAGGTAAATTTTTGATCAAAAATGCCTCAAATTCATAAAGATATCAAATTTCTGTTAGCATTTACATGTCAAATTATGGCATATCTGAGCAGCCCAGTGTCTCCTGAAAATAACAACATATGCCATGTGTGACTGTGTCATGTAAATAATTTATAAGTGTAATTGTAATTGACCCAAAAACCAAACAATTACCCCAAATTACCCTATGGTTCTAAGGGTTAAGTGTTTCCTGTGTTTCTATTTTCATGGTGGTCAGTGTGTGAGTAACAGAGTGCATGCATCCCTGCAAACCATCTGATGACCAATAAAATCGACCCCCTCGTGTGTAATTTGGTTCACTTTAGCCTTGCAGTGTAAAACCAACCTAAAAAAGCACAAAATCCCAAAACCCTGGTTCAGTCATTAGGTTTGAACTGGGTACTAACACAGCCTGCTGTTCTTCAGAGACGTTAGCTAGGAAACCACCAAAACAGTTGCAAACACTCTGCCTGATGTCCGAGCCAGTATTATGACAGTTCTGAGCTTAGAATTAGGATTTGGCCTAATTTCCTTTTGTCATGGTCGAGAGGTGCTTTTTCAGACTTATCCCTATTTTACGATCATAAACATTACATATAAAACAAAGAAGACATGTAGGTTCACTGGTGGTTCTGGACAGTTAATGAAATGGCTATATTTGTGTTGTGGACTTCTGGTTCATATTGCCAGCCAAAAATATTCAGCCGCCAGCTGTTCACTGGTCAGAAAATGAGCACTGTTTGCATAAAACAGACATAAATACAGACCATATTAGAGCTTTTGTGCACAGTTGCGCAGCCAAAACTGTATTATTTTCCACTGTTAAGGTTTTCAAAAAGGTATTAAAAAGCTTAGAAGTTGCTCCTTTCAGTTCTACTATAAAATTATTCCTTATTAAGATTACATTTATTGCAGCCACACAACCACAACTTAATTTCCTTTTTGGGACCTGTGGGAATCCTGTGATGGTTCTATTCTAAGTGGGCTTATTATGCTCTATTTAGGCTCTACTAGAATAGATTTACAGCTTCAACGTTCCAAAAACACATTTTTTCTCTGTTCGTCTCCTTTAACCCTCTGTCTGAAACGCTCTGTTAGAGCTCCTGTGTCTCGCAATGAGCCCAGCGTTCCCTGATTGGTCAGCTCGCCCGCTCTGTTCTGAGAGGTCCACCTCCAGAGTGGTTCCGCCCCTCCAGGTTCCACCCCTGTCCTGCGGTCTGCAGACAGACCCTTCGCTCCTGAGCAGCTGTAACTCCGCTGTGGCTGTTTCTCCAGCGGCGTCGGGTCTGCTGGATCAGTTTGATCCAGAGTGGATCCTGAAAGTCCGGTCAGCATCTCTCCACATGCTACAGCACTGAACACACTCTTCCTCCTCCAGTAGCCGCTGTGTGAGGCCGCTGCGTGAGGGGGCTGAGCTCGGCGGTAGGTGGGCAGTAAGGACTGTGTTACGAAATGATGTCACCCAGTAACAAAGGAAAAGGGCTGGAATTCCAACTAAGCATTTCAGCAGCTGAGAAAAGCGGATTCTGTGGGACAGAGTTTCTCCCTCTGGAGGGACGCTGAGCTTTCGGACTCGCACAATGTTTACATGCACAAAAAGCTGCAACACACTGAAGAGAAAAGAGAAAAAACAGACGAGCATAATCAGTTTATCAGAGAGTGAAGGATAAAAGCCTCAGTCTCTCACCGTCGGCTCCGAACACAGTCAGCGCTCGGATCTTTCTCACTCCAGGTGTGTCCATAGGAACCAAGATCATGCTGTGCTGACCATGCCTGTAACACACACACACACAAAACACTGATCACACCTGTAACACACACTAGAATACTGGACCCTCACATCAGATCCCTGCTGATCCACACACTGCACTGCTGTTCGGTATTGTATCAGATTTAGCCTGAAATGTGGTCACACTGTTCGCTGGACACTGAACTGGAACAGGCTTTACAAGCTATACAGGAGACGAGTGAGTACAAAGCGTTTTGCTCTCTCTCTCTCTCTGTCTCTCACTCTGTATCTCTTCATCTTTCTCTCCTTCTGTCTCTCGCCCTCTGTCTTTTTCTCTCTCTCGTCACCTGTCTCACTCTTTCTGTTTCCCTCTTTTTCTATCTCTCCCTCTCTCCTATTTTCTCTCTATTTCCCTCTCTCTGTATCCCTCTTTCTGTCTCCCTGTTTCTCCTTCTGTCTCTATTTTTCTCCCACTCTCTCGCTCTATCTCTGCCTCTCTCCTTTTCTCTCTCCTTGTCTCTCACTCTTTCTCTCTTTCTCCTCCTTTCTGTCTCTCTCTCTCTCCTCCTGTCTCTTACTCTTTGTGTCTCCCTCCCTCTCCTTCTGTCTCTATTCCCCAACTTCTCTCTCCTTCTTTCGCTCTTTCTCTCTCTCTCCATCTTTTTCTCTCTCGTCACCTGTCTCACTCTTTTTCTTTCTCTCCCTCTCTGTCTCCCTTTCTCTCATTCTGTCTCTATTTCTCTCCCACTCTCGCTCTTTCTCTCTCTATCTCTGCCTCTCTCCTTCTCTCTCTCTCTTCCCCTCTTTCTCTCCTTTTATCTCTAATTCTCTCCCTCTTTCTGCCTTTCTCCTTCTCTCTGTCTCTCTCTCTCCCTGTCTTTTACTCTTTCTGTCTCCCTCTTTCTCTCCTTGTCTCTATTCCCCCTTCTCTCTCTCCTTTTGCTCTCTCTCTCCCTCTTTATCCCCCTTTGTCTCTATTTCTCTGCCTCTCTCTTTCTCCTTCTTTCACCTTCTCTCTCTATTTCTTTCTCTCCTCTGTCTCTTACTCCTTAGCTCCTTCTGTCTCTCTCTTTTTCGCCCCTCCTTCTCTCTCTTTTGCTCTTTTTCTCTCTTTCTCTTCCTTTGTCTCTACTCTCTCCTTCTCTCCCTCTTTTTCTCATTCTGTCTCTACTTCTCTGTTTCTCTCTCTCTTCCTGTCTCTCTCTCCCCTAACAGAGTGACTGCATGCTCTGAGGCAGACATGACCATTATATTTGGGCGAGGCAGTGAAGAGAGAGAATCAGAGAGCTAGAGATGAATTCTAATACAGGGAGAGTCTCCCTGGGGAGCGGAGGAGGAAGAGAGGGAGAGAGAGAGGGATGAGAAAGAAAAAAGAGAGAGAGAGAGAGAGAGAGAGAGAGAGAGAGTGTGTGTAACAGAATGAGATCAATTTCAGGGAATAGCATGATACACACACACACACACACACACACACACACACACACACACACACACACACACACACAGGCATATTAGTGGAGCTGGAGGCTGAATCTCACTGCACTGAGCTGTCTGTCTGTTACAGATATGAATATTAAATCCCATACACTGTGTGGGTGTGTGTGTGTGTGTGTGTGTGTGTGTGTGTGTGTTGGTCTGTCCAGTTCAATGTACAGTACTGACAGAGACCACCCAGCATTTATTTAATTTCCAGTCAAAACAGATGTTCCCAGCACCAGCTGGTCATTTTTCCACATCAGTATAAAAATAAGCAGAAAACATATTTAACAGAAAATCACACAGAAGCCTCAACTCCTAACTCTACTCTCAGCTGTGAGTCAGTGAGTCACTCTTCACCTTTATTCCAGCTTCCACTCTTTTCAGGAGCCTCACTTTCAGCTCCTCAAAGAATCTGCAGACACACCTCCAAAGTTCAGTCTTAGAAGCTGGTTGATGATTTTCTGAAGTAATCAAACACATTCAGTGATGTTGAGGTCTGGACTCTGGGGTGGTCAGTCCATCGTTCAGCTTCTTTGTTTGATGTGTCTGTCTCCTTTTCTCAGTGAGGTTCTTCTTGACAGCTACACATCCTTTCAGACCCACAGCGCTGAGTCGCCTTCTCACAGTGGAAGGATGGACAGAAACACCTGTGGATGTTTTCAGATCTGAAGCAGCTTGATTTTCTCCTCTCTCTCAGAGATGAAAGCTTTAAGTGTTGTTTATCTGATGGCTGCTTCAGCCGCTTTCAGAGGAACAGTTTTCATTTTCTCCCTCTAAAGCTGTCGGTATCTGAGAGAGCGAGAGCTCAGTGGGACCAAATGAATCGCTCACTGGAGTCGGTGTTTGTGGAAAACGTCTACAGTGGCGCTACGGACCCTGACGACCCGGCGCGCCCCTAGGCCTAGGAATGTGTGCATGTTTACCTTTTTGCCAATAGACCCTCCACAAGAACAAGGAAGTGTGTGAATGCTGGGTAAATGCTTCCGCTATTGCCTCACAGACAGTTACCTCACTGTCCTCAGAAACAGAGTCGTTTGTATCACTTCAGCTCACCACAGAATGTGTGTCACTTTGATTGGAGAACACCAAACACACCAGAATGTGGGAGTCCACAGCTGTCAGAGCACAGTAACATCAGCTGGCTCACATCTTCAGAGCGATTAACTGATCAATGGTGAAAATAACCCAAAATGCTAGATTAGCCATGTTAACAATAAACTACTTGGCAAAAAGCTAAACATGCACACATCCCAGCATGCGTACACAAACACCGACTCCAGTTAGCGAACATCTGAGCAGAGATGCCGACAGCTTTAGAGGGAGAAAATGAAAACTGTTCCTCTGAAAGCGGCTGAAGCAGCAACTTTACAGCACCTACTGCACATTAACGTCAGTCAGCAGAGCTGAAACACAGACAGAGCCTCTTTTCCTCCGTATGACAGATTATTCCTTTATTAACTGCACAAACTCATTTCTCCTCTGATCATCGTCAGCAGACAAACCACTGAACCTGAGATGAGACTGTTTTTGTTCAAACTCCAACACTTGAGTGAGCTGTTCACGCTCCACTCATCATCGCTGTTATTGTTGTTGCTTCAGCTGAAGCAGCATCACCTGCAATATAAACTTCCAGCAGAAAAAATGTGGAAATGTGAAAAGAGTGTATTTATTGTTAGTGAGTTGCCTCAGCATCTCCAGCTAACATGGCTAATCCAGCGATTTGGTTAGTTATTTTCATCTATCCATTGATTTATCTCTCTGTAGACTTTAGCTGACGTTACTGTGCTCTGACAGCTGTGAAGGAGTTTTTCCACAAAGCATTTATATCCTTTATTTAGTCTGGCCTCCCACATTGTTGTGTGTTTGGTTCTCCAACAGTTCTGGACACGTCCTCGAATTTCAATCTCGGCGACTATGACGAAGATAAAGTGAGACACCTTTCTGTGGTGGCTGAAGTGATACGAACGCCTCGATATAAATCTGAGGTTAGTAACTGTCCGGAAAGCAATAGTGAAAGTTGTTTTACCCCTCGGTTATGGAAAAGGGCTGATTCCCTCAGAGGAGCACAGTGGAGAAAAACATCAAACCACGCGTTTAAAATATTTAGCAAACAAGAACTACAGATGATGCTGGAAGAAAGAGCCAACAGGAAAAAACCTCCTTAGAAAATATGAAGATTGTGGGGTGACGGCAGAAAGCAAGAGATGAGGATGAGGAGCAGCAGAGGCAGCGCTGAGATTAGATGCTGACCTCGTCAACTTTCACAGCCTGAGACGAGTGAGAGGCTGATTTAAGAACGTTTTCAAGAATATCACCTTCTTAGAATTATTCTTCAGAAAAGAGTTAATAAATAAATAAAATAATTCTTAAGACGTTTTTTGAAGCATAACGTTTTTTCATTACATTTTTCTGAAGAATGAAGTTGAGAAAAAACACACATTTAAGAAGATCTTCTTTCTTAAGACACTTTCGTGAATCCAGCCCCAGTTTTGGAAGCTTCAACTTTCTCCTTCCTTACGCAGATGGATTACCTTCTATCTAATCTCCTGACTTGGACTTGTGGCTGTTCTGACCTCCTTCCTCCTTTGAAGGACAGAAGAAGCTGCTCGAGTTTTGGTTTGTTTACTAACGACTGAGGGACGTTTGACTTTGCCAAACAGGAGGAATGAGAACTTCCATTAAACAGCGCGGCGCTGCAGCCGGAGGAGGAACAGGAGGAGGGTGGTGTCTGTGCGGCGCTGCAGCCGGAGGAGGAACAGGAGGAGTGTGGTGTATGTGCGGCGCTGCTGGGTGGAGACGTTATTGTGTTTAAAGATGTTTAAAGTACAGCAAACTTTCACTCTCTCACAGCCTCATCCACACCCACACACACCCACACACACACTCACACACACACACACACACCTCACACACACACACACCACACACACACACACACACACTCTCACACAGACACACATACACACACTCACACACACACACACACACACTCACACACACACACACACAGACACACTCACACACACAGACACACAGACACACACACACACACACACAGGCACAGACACTCTCTCTCACACACAGACACACACACACACACACACACACACACACACACACTCTCTCTCTCACACACACACACACAAACTTTCCCCTTCTAGTTGTCAATCCCTTAAAATCTCAGGCTTCTTGCATACTAAGGCTTATTATTCAGTAACTACAGGTACTTCAATGCAAACTGGCTGAGCTCTTAATTTATAGAAGTGTGTAATTAAACTTTGGGCCCACCGACTGGCCACTGGCCATTTAAGGGGTCAACGACAGACTTCTAAGGGTTAAGCTTCATCCTAATCCATCCTGCTCCAACTGCAACAAATGACTCTCACATTGCCCTTCATAGACATTACAGGAACGGCCTATCAACACCTTAGCAACTACCTGGGATACCACAGAAATGCCCTGGCAACACCTTAGCAACCACCTGCGATACCATAACAATGGCCTAGCAACACCTTAGCACAACTGCAATACCTTAACAATGGCTAACTAATACAATAGCAACCACCTGAGATAACACAGCAACCACCTAATGACACCTTATATACCACCTGGAATACATTAGCACCTGCCTAGCAACACCTTAGCAACCACCTGGGACAGCACAGCAATGGCCTAGCAACACCTTAGCAACCACCTACAGTAAAGCAACAGCTTTGTCAAGTCAGCTTAAATTTATTCCTTCTTATTGTTTAAACCCATTAAAATCCTGCGCTTATTACACACTAAGGCTTATTACTCAGTAACTACAGGGACTTCAATGCAAACTGGCCGAGCTATTCTTAGCTTATAGATGCGTGTAATAAAACGTTGGACCCCTGGTCATTTAAGGGGTCACTGTTTTAAATGTTTTCAGAGTTTTGAATCTGCACTTTTTGGATTCACGTTGGGTTTAGCTGATTTGCAGAAAAACACCTCAGCAGTTAAATGAGGTGAAATCTTTTGCCAAACTTCCTGACCACTTTTCTTTATTATTATGATTTTCATTCCTTCTTTATCATCACACATCATATTATTCTTTTCACCCCCAAATCTCTGCCTTTGTTTTTAGACAGAAGCTTCCTCAGCTCCGGCCTGCTGGGAGTCAGAGTGGTGAACTCAGCAGCAGTTCAGGGCTGGGAATGTGTTCAGCATTCAGCAGACGGTTCAGCGAGAGGAATGCAGACAGTCAGACCTCGACACTGACCACAGCTCCTGCTCTCGGCCAGCGGCCGTGTGCATGTGCGCGTCTCATAAAGAGGAGTTTGTGAGTGGAATTTCTTTCTGGATCTGTCAGGCTGGATGAAATTAGCTTGATGCTAACACATGCACAATTTTCTGCTGACCATCTCACATTACATAGAAATACAGCTCCAAACCTCCACTTCCTGCTAAACACGGTACCATGATGGTCATATGCAAAAGTCTGGGCACCCCTGATCAAATTCCATGTTCTGTTGATTTTCTAAGTGTAAATAAGTAACCCTACACATCCTCGACAGAGACGCATCTCTGCACATTTTAATTAAGCAACAGAACCCGAGAGGGAGTGTGTTATCACGAAATAACATCACGGCTGTGATTTGGTCGCCGTAGATCATCACAGCCGTGATGTTATTGGCGATAACACACTCCTCGAGTGTTCTGTTGCTTTAATACAACAGTTAAATAAATAAAGTAATAGATTAATAAACTGGGCCGTGAACGCGGCGTTTAATATGTTTTAATGTTCGCAGTTCCTTCACCAAATTATAGTTCCTTAACGAGCAGCTTGTTGCTACGTCAGAGTAACGAGCTCCGCCCACTCGCTGCACAGTCTGCTGTAAGCCTCGCCTTTTGAAGTACAGACTGAACTATAAAACTGCCCCAATATCAAGTTCAGCTCAGTTTTGTCAGTGTTTTCCAGATCAGTATCAATGTTGTTTTGTTCCAGCCAGTCTGTAAAGCATCTTACAGCCCATTTAGTTTGGCGAATGGTGTTGGGTTCATTTCTGGCTGATTCCAGGTTGTTCAGCTGTTCTTCTGTCTCAGCTGCCGACTGAAAAGCTGCTCAGTGGTGATGACAGTTTGGGAATTTAGTGTCGTCTCATCTTCAGAGTCTGACCAAATCGGCTGTCGGTCAAATGTGATCTTAAAAGTGTCCGTTTTCTGTTTGTGTCAAAGTAAGAAGTAAAAACGTTCGAATGTCTTGAGCGTCTCCTACAGCTGTCAAAGTCGTTGCTTAGCAACAGCGTCTCAGCGGAGTGATACAGTGTTTGTGAAAAACCCGTGATGTTATGGTGAAATAACAGCACAGTTAGAACTCCTCTCAACCAATCAGCTCGCGAGGCCGAAACTAACTGTTGTATAATACTCAATTACTGTGTATCCACTGAATTTAACGTATTGGAAGAAAATTAAAAACATAAAATGTGGATTGGGCACTAAAATTATGAGACAAATGCTGCAAATAAGTTTGTTGACTGTAGAAAATCAACAAAGCATGTAATGTGAACAGGGGCACCGACTGTATATGTACTAGCGTTGGGCGATTTGAACTCAAATTTATATCAACATATTTTCTATTATTTGGATAATTTGATAATTCTAAATAAAGTTGATTCATTTATATTCAGAACCAGGGAGCGATATGGCAAAAACATAATTCCACAAAGATTTAACAAGCTGGAACAGACAAAAAACAAATAAACCTACAACTACAATGATTTTTATTCAACGTTTTACAAACTGCACCGCACTAAATTCAGTTAAGCAGGCCTAATTGCTCTCTATAATCCACAATATGCTAATAAAAGCATATTGTGACATAATTTATCATGATTATGATTAAATAATGTCATATTTCCCACCTGTAGCAATATTTTTTGAAAATGTTTCTCATTTTTATCACTGAGAAAACCAGCTTAGACCTGGAGCGCCTAAAACGGGCATGATGACGACTACAGAATGTCGACTCGACCTCAGAGCTCTATTCTATGCTGCGTTTTGTAGCTGACCTAATAACATTTCAGTGTGTGCTGTATTTAACAGTGACCGCTCCCTATTCCAGGCCTGCTAAATTAGGCTCATATTAAGTTCACCCGGCAGTTGGATGAGTTTTAAGGGCTGATCTGTTGTTTCTCGCTAGGTTTAATTTGTTTGGTCCAACAGAGTTCTAGAAAAGAAACAACTGCAAAGTGATGATCTGTGCCAACATCGCATGGTGTGGTCAGCAAACTGGTATAAACGCAACAGCAAAAAAGAGGCTAATCATGTAGCCACAGGTTTAGATCTACTATTAAATCTTTTATAAATCTGATTATAAATACACACTGGTCTTGTTTAGTTTAGCAATGCGGTGCTCTTCCACTCGGCAGTCGTCTGGGGTGATAATGTTTCCAACTGTTTATGCTGGAACTCCAGCATTCATATTTTTTACATTCAAATGTGCTTTTTTCACTGAATTGGATTAATATTTGGATTTTGACAGCCCTGTTTGCTAAACGTAGAGGAAAGAAGTATTAACTCATAGCTATTAACTCATAACAGCATGTTTCAGTTAGCAGAGTTAGAAGTGCTCTCACAATCCTCACTTTGCTGTGTAAAGTTGCCAAGAGTGACTCCAGTGGTCATAATTACAGTCGTAGGTGAAAGTTAGTCGAAGCCTGGTCAGACGACACAGCAGCTTCGTTCCAAAGTCTAGGCTGCATTTCTCGGCTGCTTTGTCACAGCAGGATGCTCCAAAGTAAAGGACCCTCTTTATACAGCCTAGAAATGCAGCCTTCATTCTGAGTGGTTTTGAGGATGCAACTGATGCATCATTCCAGGCCTTCGGTTACCCACAGTTCTCTGCGCATGAACAACGTGAAGGAAACAGCACTGCAAACATGGCGGGAAACGAAGCCGTTGGAGCAGAGCTCGTTTTAAAATGTAAGTTGTTCACGTCCTCGAATTCGTCTTCGTCACCTTATAAAGTGTAAAATGACTGATTTATTAAAGCGTTCGTCCAAATATCATACATCGTCCATATATCGTATTTTATTTAGAAGTATTTATGTATATTTATATGACGGCCACGCGAGCTGATTGGTTGAGAAGCGTTCTAACTGTGCTGTTATTTCACCATAACATCACGGGATTTACACAAACACTATCACTCCGCTGAGACGCCGTTGCTAAGCAACGTCTTTGACAGCTGTAGGAGACGCTCAAGACATCTGAACGTTTTTACTTCTTACTTTGACACAAACAGAAAATGGACACTTTAAGATCACATTTGACCGACAGCCGATTTGGTCAGACTCTGAAGATGAGACGACACTAAATTCCCAAACTGTCATCACCACTGAGCAGCTTTTCAGTCGGCAGCTGAGACAGAAGAACAGCTGAACAACCTGGAATCAGCCAGAAATGAACCCAACACCATTCGCCAAACTAAACGGGCTGTAAGATGCTTTACAGACTGGCTGGAACAAAACAACATTAATACTGATCTGGAAAACACCGACAAAACTGAGCTGAACCTGATATTGCGGCAGTTTTATGGCCCAGTCTGTACTTCAAAAGCCGAGGCTTACAGCAGACTGAGCAGCGAGTGGGCGGAGCTCGTTACTCTGACGTAGCAACAAGCTGCTCGTTAAGGAACTATAATTTGGTGAAGGAACAGCGAACATTAAAACATATTAAACGCCGCGTTCACGGCCCAGTTTATTAATTTATTACTTTATTATAACACACTCTATAACACACTCCCTCTGTGTTCCACTGCTTAAGTAGTTTATCGTACCACATAAGATCATCTCCTTCATTTCTGTGAAGAAATGAAAAACTAACAAACTCAGTCAGGCTCCATTTTCTCTCTCCAGTTCCCTCACGAGTTTGGCGCCGCTCTGGTGTCGTCACCACACAGCCTCAATAGCGCTGATCCATCTGTGTGACCAATAGGCTACTAAGGAGGAGTCTTCATAGGACAGCCCTACTGAGGACCCGCACTACCTCGGCTGCAGCCTCGGCTTTGGAACGCAGCTGTTCTGTTGATTTTCCGGTCTCCGTCATGCTTTATGCACTAGACTAGCTTCGTGATTAACGTAGGAAGCGAAGCTCAGTGCTGCAGCTACCTCTTCAGGTCTAAACTGTTCTTTTGTTGAGTCTATAAGAAATTGTTAAAGCTGATGTTTATCTTGAGGCAGAGCTAGGGTTTGCCTGACTGACGCTTTTGGCAATGGATCAATCACAAGATCCACTGTATGGGAAAATTCACACCAAAACACACCGTCATACTGGTATTCACTGTCATAACAACGCCGAGCTCTAATACATACAAACACAACCACACCCTTATATACACACACAGCTCTACACTGATGTGTAAAGGCTGGACTGTGTTAACAAGGTAACAGATCAGTACCTGTTGTTCGGGTCAGCTGTTTTATTCCTGCACATCACCACGGCGATCCTGCACATTGAATTACCGGCACCTAGAGAGAAAAAAAATCGGTGATGAATTCTGACAAAGTGAGAAACTCTGAAAGGGGTTCTGGGAGCAAGACTGACAGACATAAAGGACCCATATACGACATTTACAGTACAGTACTGTCTAATTCAGAGCCCACCCTTTCCTTGATTTAATTTCCAGTCAAAACAGCACTTAAAGTTATTCTCCCCTTATTTTCCCCTTTATAGCTCCAGGTCTTTTCAGGAGACCTGCTTTCAGTTTTTGAAGAAATGTTTTTTCCACGCCTCCAAAGTTCAGTCGTAGAAGTTAGTTGCATTTTGTGCTTCTCACTATACGAATAATCCCACACACATTCGGTTAGTTCGTATTTTCTGTTTGTGATTTGTTTGAACTCTTCATCTCCAACTCACACAAGGTTCCTGACTAAGTTTCAGCTTCACAAAATCCAACAAAACGATAAAAAATATAAAAATCTAATCACGATACTTCAAGAAACTTTCATGACACACGATAAATCACAACGTATTCTGACATCTGTTAAGTTGAAACGGACAGAAAAGAACCAGTACTGTCACAAAAAGATACAGTCAAAATAATTATTATTCAAAATATTCCAAACCCGATAAATTTTGGCCCGTGTACAGCCCCCCCCCCGACCCCCACCCCCACCAATTATCACCGGATTTTAGGCCATATAGTGCGTAAACACTTATTGGATGGAACATGAAGGCACTGTTACTCTCACTGATGAAAAGTGGAAACTGCACTATGGAAATCATACAATTTTATCGTTCAGTTTATGTGAATCATACATTCATGTTACTGAGTTATTAAAAGTAATAAATCCATTCTGATCAAGCTTATTTTTCCCACTCATACAGCTGCTTTAAAATGAAATTTAAATCAATTACTTTGGGGTTGAAATAAGACCATTGATGATAAATATTATTATTATCATGTTTAACTATGTACAAGAATGCAGTCAATAGTGATTATTTGTTTGACAGCATTTCTAACAGTAAAAAGAAAGACTGACGTGTTTATTGGAGTAATAACTGCTTTGTATTCTTAATATTGATGTAGTATAATTTGCTTCCTCTGCTGAAAAGCAGTGTTTTGCATGACTGACAGCACAAATATCACAAAGAAAAAAAAGACCCAATAAGGATCAGAGGGGTGTCTCTCCACATGAAGGCTGTATCTGATTGGTCCAAAGCTCTTACTAGTTCAACAGCTGTTTATGATCTGAAATTCCAAACTGATCCTGCTCTAGAGCAGATTAGGCATGCAGCCAAACTTGCCACGGTGATGCAACCTGGTAAAAAATGTCGTCAGACAGAAATTTTAAAGTTTAAAATTTAAAGTCATTTTTATTTTAATATTAAAGTTAAAAGTCAGCAGACTAAGCAAGAAATTTTGCCTCGTGAGAGAGAAACTCTGGTCTTCTTCATTGCACTGGATTTTGTGTTTGTGTTTTGCCCTCTAGATGGAGCTCTTTCTCAGTCTACACAACCGAAACACTGTGCGTCTGCATAAAGCAGGATAATGTGCACTTTTGCACGAGTGCAGGTCCAGATATTCACACACTATTCTGGGGCTACATGACAAAATATCACATTCTGATTATATTGCTACACTGGGATTGTGATTTGCCTTGAAATTTGTTAGAAATCTAGCCTTTGTTATTTTAACTGAAATACTCCGGTCAGGCATAACATTCTGACCACCTCCTTGTTTCTACGCTCATTGTCCATTTTATCAGCTCCACTTACTATATAGGTGCACTTTGTAGTTCTACAGTTACAGACTGTAGTCCATCTGTTTCTCTGATACTTTGTTAGCCCCCTTTTACCCTGTTCTTCAGTGGTCAGGACCCCCATGGACCCTCACAGAGCAGGTACTATTTGGGTGGTGGGTCATTCTCAGCACTGCAGTAACACTGCAGTGCTGAGAAGTTTTTGACAGTGCTGCTGGAGTTTTTAAACACTGTGTCCACTCACTGTCCACTCTATTAGACACTCCTACCTTGTCGGTCCACCTTGTAGATGTAAAGTCAGAGACGATAGCTCATCTGCTGCTGCACAGTTTGTGTTGGTCATCCTCTAGTCCTTCATCAGTGGTCACAGGACGCTGCCCACAGGACGCTGTTGGCTGGATATTTTTGGTTGGTGGACTATTCTCAGTCCAGCAGTGACACTGAGGTGTTTAAAAACACCAGCAGCACTGCTGTGTCTGATCCACTCAGACCAGCGCAACACACACTAACACACCACCACCACGTCAGTGTCACTGCAGTGCTGAGAATGATCCACCACCCAAATAGTACCTGCTCTGTGAGGGTCCATGGGGGTCCTGAGCACTGAAGAACAGGGTAAAAGGGGGCTAACAAAGTATCAGAGAAACAGATGGACTACAGTCTGTAACTGTAGAACTACAAAGTGCACCTATATAGTAAGTGGAGCTGATCAAATGGACAATGAGCGCAGAAACGAGGAGGCGGTCATAATGTTATGCCTGACCGGTGTATTTTTCCTTATAGTAGATCACATGAATGCCTGGATTCATTAAAAACCCAAAGAAAGGCTTATTTGGAACATCTGAGTTTTTTTGAGGATGATCACAGCAAACAACAACGTTACTGGTTAGAGGCTCCTCTGTTTACCGCAGCTTGATTAACAGCCGTAATGAGTAACACTGTGAAGTCCCAGCTAACGAGCATAGAAGAATAAAACACAGTGACTCGGCCAGGAATGGAGGGCTGGGACCAGCGACAGTCGGGCCCTGGGGACAGGAAGCGACTGGGCTTCTTGTTCTCTTTTCCTGTTTATTATTCAACTCTCTGCCCAGCAATATCCACACAGCAGATCAACAAGACAGATTAAACCTGGCCAGAACGAAACTATCATTTCGAAACATCTGTGTGACTCACCGAAGGATTTTCCCTCACATACCAAACGAGGCAGGTAGCCTTTTTCTGTAAAGTACATTATATTGCCAAAAGTATTGGCTCGTCTGCCTCACACACATATGAACTTGAGTGACATCCCATTCTTAATCCTTAGGGTCTAATATGATGTCGGCCCACCCTTTGCAGCTACAACAGCTTCCACTCTTCCACAAGGGTTAGGAGTGTTTATGGGAATTTCTGACCATTCTTCCAGAAGTGCATTTGTGAGGTCAGACACTGATGTTGGACGAGAAGGCCCTGGCTCGCAGTCTCCGCTCTAAATTATCCCAAAGGTGTTCTATCGGGTTGAGTCAGGACTCTGTGCAGGCCAGTCAAGTTCTTCCACACCAAACTCGCTCATCCATGTCTTTATGGAGCTGCTTTGTGCACTGGGGCTCAGTCATGTTGGAACAGGAAGGGGCCAAACTCCCCAAACTGTTCCCACAAAGTTGGGAGCATGAAATTGTCCAAAATCTCTTGGTGCTGAAGCATTAAGAGTTCCTTTCACTGGAACTAAGGGGCCGAGCCCACCTCCTGATAAACAACCCCACACCATAATCCCCCCCCCACCAAACTTTACACTCGGCACAATGCAGTCAGACAAGTACCGTCTCCTGGCAACCACCAAACCCAGACTCGTCCATCGGAATGCCAGACGGAGAAGACACACTCACACACACTAAAAGAAGCGTGATTAGTCACTCCAGAGAACTCTGAGACTCACACACACTAAAAGAAGCGTGATTAGTCACTCCAGAGAACTCTGAGACTCACACACACTAAAAGAAGCGTGATTAGTCACTCCAGAGAACTCTGAGACTCACACACGCTAAAAGAAGCGTGATTAGTCACTCCAGAGAACTCTGAGACTCACACACGCTAAAAGAAGCGTGATTAGTCACTCCAGAGAACTCTGAGACTCACACACAGTAAAAGAAGCGTGATTAGTCACTCCAGAGAACTCTGAGACTCACACACAGTAAAAGAAGCGTGATTAGTCACTCCAGAGAACTCTGAGACTCACACACAGTAAAAGAAGCGTGATTAGTCACTCCAGAGAACTCTGAGACTCACACACAGTAAAAGAAGCGTGATTAGTCACTCCAGAGAACTCTGAGACTCACACACAGTAAAAGCGTGATTAGTCACTCCAGAGAACTCTGAGACTCACACACACTAAAAGAAGCGTGATTAGTCACTCCAGAGAACTCCGAGACTCACACACAGTAAAAGCGTGATTAGTCACTCCAGAGAACTCTGAGACTCACACACAGTAAAAGAAGCGTGATTAGTCACTCCAGAGAACTCTGAGACTCACACACAGTAAAAGAAGCGTGATTAGTCACTCCAGAGAACTCTGAGACTCACACACAGTAAAAGAAGCGTGATTAGTCACTCCAGAGAACTCTGAGACTCACACACAGTAAAAGAAGCGTGATTAGTCACTCCAGAGAACTCCGAGACTCACACACAGTAAAAGAAGCGTGATTAGTCACTCCAGAGAACTCTGAGACTCACACACAGTAAAAAGCGTGATTAGTCACTCCAGAGAACTCTGAGTGAATTCTGAAGTCGTATGTTAAGTGCTCTGTTAAAACCTGACGTGTGTAAAGTTTCTCGTTGGGCTGAATGTTTTGACAATGTTCTGCAAAGCTTAACCAACCTGGCAACAGCAGCTGGGAAAGAATGTATCAGTGGGCGGAGCTTGGAGAGGTTAGTGCAGAGAGTTCCTGTGTGATTTATATTTGGATTAAACACCTTTTATGAGTTTCAAAACACTGCAATTACGGTTAATTACCAATAATTAAGTAATTAAGATGTGTAGAAAATGGTAGATAATTACATATTAACATGTATTCATCCCTCGAAAGAGCAGATCTGTGTGTGTGTGTGTCTGTGTGTGTGTGTGTGTGTGTGTGGGTGTGTGTGTGTGTGTGTGTGGGTGTGTGTGTGTTGGTGTGTGTGTCTGTCTGTGTGTGTGGTGTGTGTGTCTGTGTGTGTGTGTGTGTGTGTGTCTGTCTGTGTGTGTGTGTGTGTGTGTGTGTGTCTGTCTGTCTGTGTGTGTGTGTGTGTCT